AATAGTTTTATGTATTGATTTAAATTGACATGCATCCGCTAAGAAAAGTAGTCCGTTGTTACTGTTTGAACTAACGTAGCAACGGCAGGAACTGCTTCGATAGTGTTTTTGAGGAGCTTTTTGATTACATATTTGAAAACATCGTTGCTTGCTTTAAAAGTAGCACAATTCATTATGTCAAACCTTGGAAAGTATCTAGATATCCCTGCCCTAATGCCAAAGTAACTGGCAACTGAATATGTATCGCCGTTTGATGTCTATGTCTGGACCGCTGCGTAAAAAGGAGGGTTTCTGCCCCATTACTTCTCTTCTTACTTCTATAAGAATAAAACACGGAGGACGGAGATCTCTTTTTCTCCCCCTCTTCTGACAGCCCAGCAGCTGATCTCAAAGCATGCTCCCCTCTCCTGCAGGGGGGCGTGGTCAGCTGCAGCTCACAGAATCAGCCCCCTGCAAAAACAGCGCTGGAAAGAGCAAATAGAGCGAAATGAGGCATGGCTAAAATGCAGGATCTTTTTGGTATTTTGAAAAAAAAACTATATTTATATAGTTTATATATAGGTCGATACAGTTAGTAGTATTACACCTATAGTTTTTATAGGTGTTGCTATCTGTTTTGTGTAGTGTGGTTCTACAAGCAAGTCAATGCATTCATTGGGTGGTATCAGAGAGTTGCACAGGTCTGTAAATGCAATGAAAACAATTGGCCACAGCAAATCATTTATATTAAAGATGTAATTTTTACTTTTGAATACTTCAGTACAAAGGATGTATTGAATAATTTAAGTGATATATGTGTACACATATCAATCAATAGTCAAAACAGGGCTACTACATTTGATTTAATTAAAAGGTATAATATGTGGTAAACTGAAGAGCCGTTTGGGAGCCGAAAGAGCCGGCTCTTCTTGGTGAGCCGAGCCAAATGATCCGGCTCACCAAGAAGAGCCGGAATTCCCATCACTAATGTGTTCTACAACATACCGTGCAATGGCTTTATCGACTTTTCCCTGGATAGCAGTCCTTTGGCCGCTGTTGCTTAGGTGGAGGTGGAGTAGCGTCGGCTGAGTCTCTGTGGTTTTAGCTACTAGCTTCGTCCCAGCATGTTGTTTTGCAGATGTTTAAGAGATTTGAATTGCTGGTTTGGGCAGTAGATAGGACCTTTGACCCGCCAAGACACAACTTACATTTAACTAAAACGTTATTTCTTTGTGCTCGACAAAAGTGAAATAGTGAGAATATCTCCAGGTGGAGAAACTAGACTTGAGCTCCGCCGCCCGCCATGATAGTCTTGTTAGTAAACAACACAAACACGCCCACAGCCCGTCTCCGCATGTTACACAGGAAGTATCTAAGTACATTTACTCAAGTACTGTACTTAAGTACAGTTCTCATCTCTGTTCGCCTGGCTGTTGACTATATAAAAAAAACTAACGGAGTAACGCACCATGTACGGTAACTGACTTACTGAATATAAAAAGTAATGCGCTAGAGTACTAGTTACTGCGTTACAGTAACGCGTTACTTTGTAACGCGTTAATCCCAACACTGCTCCTCACAATAAACCAGTATGGGTTTAGGGCCCTGAGGTCCTCTGTCTGCTTTCAGGTGACTTACTTCCCTCAGAGAGCGAGTCACGTCCAAAAGATCAGATGATCTCATTAATAAAATTGTTCTGGTATCTAAAGGGATACAAGTATCAAATTCGTCGCAAAAAAGCCAAGATGAGGTAATAAATGAATGTGTAGCAGCGCTGGATTTATCTTGGGAACCCTTTTTTTATACTTTGTTCTGTGCGCTTTTATTACCAGCAACATGAAACCCCAAAGCAATTACTTTGATGTTGCACTATGCCAAACATATTCGTTTAATGAACACATCATATAAATGATATTGCTATTCTGGAAAACCAGCACTTTTTGTCGGGGTGTGGAACCTGCAGGCGAAACATAATTCATTCTTTAAAACATATTCAAGATTAGATTTAAAGATTATTTTTGCTTTCAAGGCTGAAGTAAGCATATCTTATATGAAATTCATAAGCTTGATATTTATTTGCAGTTTGTCTGAAACGGTTTGGTTGCAGAGATTTGACTGACTTTGAATCATTCCTCACAGTATATCTTTAATCTCCTTCTGTCAACTGCAGCAGCATTTGGTGTGAAGGATTACGGCGGTCAGCCTGTACATTTCCCCCGACTTGAGTGGGCACAGGGCCGCCCCTGGCCAACTTGGGGCCCCAAGCGACATTGTGAGATGAGGCCCCCAACCGACAGGAGTGAAACATTTAATTTTATAAATACTATATTATTTTATTATTGTCAAGACAAAACATGCCATGCTCAAAAAACTGATATTTCTTAAATCTGTATTCAAATGTAGTTCCCTCTGTCAGCAATGTATCAACAACTACACACACATTTCTATCAGTATTTCTCTGTGTTGTGGTTGACATGATGATGACTGTTAGGAGTTAAGGGGAGAGGCTGAGCATCACCATCAAATGTGCAAATTGACATAAAAATGAATAAAAGGGGAACAAATGCTCATGTTTTTAGGCTGTAAACTTTAACTGTTATGCAAGCCAACTAGACAGACAGTCAGGGCCAGTGGCGGCGCCAGAGATTTTCTCTAGGGGGTGCTGTGGGGTAGCTTGACGTTTCATAGAGGGTGCTCAAACATTAAGGGTTTCCCATTAATGCACCAGCGCTACAGTTGAATTTTCTACTGCAACAGTACTCCCCACACGCACACACAGTGTACCCGCGACTGTTACAATGAAGGCTCGGTAATCAGCTCACGGCATATAGGTGTAAGTGGTGTGTGGACCTCACCTCCTCTATACCTCATTCACACCAACGGTGTTTCAGGGCCGGTTCGGAGCTGGAGCTTGAAAAGCACCGGGTTTTCCTCTTCACACCGCAGCGGAGCAGCCTCTTAACTCCGGAATCCGGTTCGTTTCAAGCACCAAAAAATTGTCTGGCCAGAGCAAAAGCACCACATACGTCACGCTTACCTCGAGGCGGGGGCAGGGGCGGGATCAACTCCTGAACAACAACAAGAAGCCCGCGTTTTATCCAGCTTGTACCCAACGATGGAGAAACTTAACAAGCAGCAGTGGTCCACTGAAGAGACCAGCTACCTACTGGTAATCTGGTCTTCCAAAGAGGTACAGAGGAAGCTGATTTTTTTTTTTAAATATTGAAGTTAAAAGCATCAATCTGGTGCACTTTGAGAGCAAAATGAAGAGATCTATGGATATACTGTATCTCTCAACATACATATGAAACAGAACTGTAAACAGATTTTCTATTTCTTTATAGATATTTTACAAATCACTCCCCTTTTAAAAACAAACCGTTTGAGACCCCACTGAGATAACTAAAGTTTAACTATCTAAACACTGAGAGTCCTTACTCCACCTGAGCTGAGGTTATCTGAGACCTCTCCGTCTGACAGGAGATAGTTCTCCCTCCACCTTGTTGTTGAAAAAGCTCCTTATATCTGTTAGCTTGGCTAGCTAGCACCAGATGCTAACCACGATCTCCGGTAGAACCCACCGGTGCGCGAGCTCTCTCTCTCTCGCTCGCTTGCGCACGCACACAAAATGACTCGTGCCACACACACACAGAGCAGAGCTTGAATGAAACACAGAGACCCAGAAGTAAGCTACTTGTACTCACGAGGCCTATTTATGTGCAGAATCCCTCTCGCTTTCAGTTGGTTTTGATTGAGTGTCCACATGTGGACGTTTAAGGACTAAAAACGATCCATTTGTCACTTTGCTGTTAGCAAATAATGTGGGGCTCCAGCTAACAGGAAGTCACTCAAGTGTCACAAAGCAATTTAGCCTATGGGTAGGTCAAAAATCTAATGGGTGCTGGCCATTGGCCTAATCATATCACCTGTGTTGGCTTTATGTTTTTGGTCAAACATTTGTTTGTTTCACATTTGCATTGATGTAATCAATCATTTTTCTTGATTTAATTTAATAAAAATAATAATAATTTTCGGAAAAAGAAAAAAAACCACATTTTCTTTGGGGGTGTTTAGGGGGTGCTTTGGCAATCCTGGGGGGGCCAAATGCAGACACTCACTATGACTCGCGAAAGTCAGAAATGACCACCAAAACAGAAAGATATGGACACAAGATGTGTGCAACTGCATTTAGTTTCCTATCCATTTGAACATGATTTAAGTGGGGGGGGGAACTCACCTCCTCTAGGGGGAGTCCGGGGGAATGCACCCCCGTGAGGACTTTTGTTTTTTAATATTGAAGTTAAAAGCATCAATCTGGTGCACTTTGAGAGCAACATTAGGAGATCTATGGATACATCTCTCAACACCCAGATGAAACAGAACTGTAAGCAGATTTTCTTTTTCTTTATGGATATTTTACAAATCACTCCCCTTTCAAACTGTATTCTTTTTTATTAATAACAACTTTTTTGTACTGTGATATAGTATTTTATACCTGTTTTTCACCTATTCTCTTATTTTTTTATAACTATAATGATCATATAAAGGTGTGCCTTTACCTCACTGAGCTGAGGTTATCAGAGCCTCTCAGTCTTTGAGGAGAGAGCTCTCTAAAGCTCTCCCCCCCACGGCCGCTTACAATGTAAATTCCAATGTTAATAAAAGCACACAGAAGCTGTGTACGTTTTTTTGGGAGTTTGATTTAGTTTAAATGAACACAAATACAAAATTAAAACCCTATAATTGCACACTAAAACCATTATTTCAAAAAAGAACAATTTCACACAAACCTCTGGTCTTTACTGGGGCTGGGGCAGTTCAATTTGAAGTTGGGGGGGGGGGGGTGCCATAGTTTATGGGCGCTGTACGCAATATAGGCGTAGTTCTGTTAGTATAAGATAATAAGATGTATATTTTGTTGATCCAAAATCGGGAAACTGTGTTGTTATGAAATGAAAAAAAAAAAAAAAATTAAATGTCTGTCAGTTATAGTTCTGAGCATGACGAACAACTCCTCTCACCTTTTCCAGAGCCTCCTTCAGGCTAGGGATAGGATGCAACAGCTGGAGAGGCTCGGGGAAGCGAGGACACATCATCTCTGACTCTGCATTGCGACCCCTCCCTTCATCTAGGCGGTGGGTGGGAAATGAGAAAATGAATAGGGAGAAAGAGCGAATGGATAACAGCGGGACAGGCTTTTGTATTTCCCACTTGACATTTGATATAATAATGTATCAGCTGAACAAAGGCCGACACATGCACTAGGCTTTGGCTGGCTAGTGGGTGAGTTAATTATTCTCCCTGCCTCCTGATGAACCCCGTTGATCTTTCACCATACAATTTGACAGGATTGATTGTATACAACCTGCGGATTTCAAAAGATGCTGCCAGATCCCAGAGTGAATTCTGGATGAATGTATAATATTTAAATATGTTTCATTGTTGCTTAAGGCCACCATTTGCATTCTCATTCTAAAGCACATGTGAAACTGTTATTTAGAATAAAAAAGATCCCTCGGCGGTACATCAGAAAATCATAACCTCATGTTACCTTACTAATCATACACAGTCATGGAGATTATAAAACTGGACTGTACTTTAGAGAAGTGTTTTTTCTCTGAATTAATTGTATTAAAGAGTCTGACCAGGCGTTTTAATTAAGTTTTAACATAATTAAAACAAACTAATGAACTAAAGCACCACTACGTGACATTCTGGTGCTGTGTTGGACTGATTATGGATTAAAGGGACTACAATCAAAACCTTTTAAATATAATTTAAACCTACATTTTAAAGAGGACATATTTTGCTAACTTTTAGGTTCATAGATGTATTTTTGTATTTGACAAGCTTTAATGTTCAAAAAGGTATTCATATGTTCTCATACTGCCTGTGCTGCAGCACCTCTTTTCACCCTCTGTCTGAAACCAGAGCCCAGTCGGCTCTGATTGGTTAGCTAGTCGGCTCTGTTGTGATTGGTCAACCACTTTGAGATGTACCGCCCCTTAGCCCTTATCACATTCAATGTTATGGAGCGCTAGCAAATAGAAGTGTGTCTTACAAACTCCCTCTGGCGTGAAGACACTACAGGAAAGGGTAAAAACCCAAAAGCATATAGGGCCTCTTTAAAACAAAACCCATGCAGTCTGAGAAATGATCAACTTTCTGTGTGTTTTAATTTGACAATGCCTCTGCAATTCTTCACACTTTCAACTGTGCGAGAATATAATATAGGAGATTGCTTAATGTCCTAATTACAAAGTGTGTATCTCCATAATTATGAGAGAATAATCTGTTGATTTTCAATCAACTAACTAAGGTTGTAGGTTGTTGCCAGATTAGTTAAGAATTAGCAAAGCTGCAAACTACGATTTAGCGTTAAATGTCATAATCAGGATATTGAGCGCCATGTTCAATGTTTCACAGACTTTCTTCTACCAGAATAAGAAATCATTGAAATGGAAACTAATTTAAAATGATATTTTGCTTTTTCAGACTAATGCAGCACCTCAAAAGATCATTTGATGTTTAAAGATGAGTTAAGATAACGATTTCTCAGCTTTAAGAAATTCCTCTCACACATCCTGTTACTAACTACAGTGCCTCACCTGGCAGAAGTTTTGGCATCTGATATTGCCAGAAGAAGCACCCTGTCATCACCAGGGACAGCACGATGAAGAAGGCCAAACCCAGATCGCTCCATTTCACCTTCATCTTGTTTGTTTTAGTGAGTCCTTCAAATTTAACAGAAGCAGGAGCAGGGACAGGGACAGGGTCAGGGTCAGCAGGAGGGGGAGGGGGAGGCTGGAATGCAGAGAGACGGGAACAGAAACACACATCAACACATGAGAGAATGTTAGAAGAACAAATGCAGATTATACACGATAAATGTTCCCTAAATTCTCCTCCATGCTATGAGTTAGTTTAGTTGTAAAAGTCATTAGATCCTTATCGCCTAGTTCCCTTTGAACAAGTGATCCCTGTAGCATTTAGCGGTACTTACCACCTGATGCTTCAAAGGCCAGAGCAGGAAGTACTGGAATACCAGGGACACAGAGATCTTCTTTATCACACAATTACCATCCTCAACATCTACTCATAGTAAATTCTACCATGTAAGTGTGTCGCACTTCCCAAAGGCAGTAAAGGGTGTCCCACAGACGTTTTCCTGAGCAGGAGAAAGGCACAGACATGAACTCCCATCTCTGATTTCTCACTGACTGTGCTGTAATCCTGGGCCATCGGCACTCCCGTTCCTCACAATTCAATTTCCTCTGCTGCAGCCACAGGCTGTTGACATCATAATCCCCAGATTTACTCAACCAAAGCGGCGGGGGGAAGTCTTAATCCCTAATCCCTGTGAATCAATTCACTTCAGTCCAGCCTTAGCCTTGTGGAGCCGGCCACCGAGGCACACAAGCCGACAAAGATGGCACCCACTCAGTCAACACAGGTCCAAATGGGGTGACACGGCGGCTTTTAGCATCTGAATGAGCTGAAAACTCAACGAGGTCACTTGGGTGCAGCAAATTTGGATCAACTGGGAGAGAGAATGACACTTTGTGATGTTGATGGTGATTTAGAAAATGACAGAGGATGTGTTGTAGTGCTGTCAACAACTTATTTGGCCACTGCTGCCCAGAGTGCACAAAAAGACAAGAGAGTCCAAGAGCGTGTGGTTTGGTGACATTTTACATTTAGAAACACAGGCAGAGCAAGAACAGTATTCTGCTCACTAGCAAACAATGTGTTTACTTTAGAAAATGCGAGAAAGGTATTTTACTATGCAAAAAGGAAGAGTTGACGGAACATAAACACTGTGTTTGTGGTCCTCAGAGCTGCAAATATTCTTTGACTACCTATTCATGTAAGTCATATAATGTCAGTGTAAATTAGTGGCAGCCAATGGTGAAATCACATGGCATGACAGCCTTCAGATTTAAGGTGAGAAAATAAGTGGAAAGGCTTAAGGTGAATGAACTACATGAGCAGGAACACTTTAAAAGGATATATATTGAAGTGAGGTGAATTTAACTTAATTCATTGAATTCACTTGACTAAATCCTGTTTTGTGGATATAAGATTAAAATAAATATGTAGTTTCGCCACAAAAAGACAGAGCAGGAGGGAATCTGGTGATTTAATCCATAAATGTTCTTTCAATTGAATTACGCCATGACTATCAGGGTTTAAAATGATATTAAACTTATTGAATATAATATTTGTATCTCTATTTACTTCTAGTGGGAAGCTTAAATATAGTAAATTAAACCCTCTCTAGAACATCTCGGCAATAGATAGCATTTATATCCATCAAAAGGTACATCCTGATCGTTCTTTCACTTTGCTTAATCACAAGATATTAATGGTCCCTCCAAAGCTCGGGAATGTATTTTGATGATTATGGATATCATGTTGCGATGTGGGAAAATCAAGTGTGAATGCAATCTGCGGCTGATCCTGATTGCATAATCAGTGATAGAGAGCATTTCAGCTGGCACACACCCACACACACTCATCAAATCCACACAGACACACATTGTACATCCTGCTTGTGTGTGTCTGTGTGGGTTTGACTGTGGCTTGTGTGTGTGTGTGTGTGTGTGTGTGTGTGTGTGTGTGTGTGTGTGTGTGTCTGTGTGGGTTTGACTGTGGCTTGTGTGTGTGTGTGTGTGTGTGTGTGTGTGTGTGTGTGTGTGTGTGTGTGTGTGTGTGTGTGTGTGTGTGTGTGTGTGCTTTTACCTGGTCTGGAACCCCGTCCTCTGAGGTCTCTCTCAGGACTTTACTCCCCGCCTTACCCATGGTTTTGCTGCACAAACTGTTAACATAAAAAAAGAGGGTTATAGCTTGCTATAGTGATTTGCAGAATTTGCATTCTTAGCCGCGGTTCGAGACTCTAAAACAGCAGTTAGTGTCATAAAATGTTGTGCAACGGATAACATGTAATGGGATTACGTAATCTGGACACACAGGTTACTGTATTCCCGTACAGTTACTTGAGCAAAATACGTAATCAGATTACTGTTACCTTTCCTAAAATTGAGGATATTAAAACTGTAAAACGAGCAGATTTTATTTCTTGTTTCTTTACTGTTCTGTATAGGCTAATACTTTAAGAGTGAATCAATGCGCCTACTGCCTGAGTTTGCTTTATGGTTTTTACTTTCTTTGGTTCATTTGCTATTTGTTTTATTCAGTAGGGTAACCTATATGTTCATAATATAATATGTGTGAATTGAACAGTATTTATAAAACCAAAACAGAGCATTTTCTGTCAGCTCAGATTTGATTTCTGCTTTTTAAACTGTTCTATGTGCTCATAATATGCTTCATTGTTGGTGTATGGCTACTGCCTGAATATGCTTACTGAAAGGTAAGTTTTCCTATAAATAAAATCTCTGAATAGAAGACACAATTCTGATACTTAATATCTTCAGTTCTTCTTTTCTTAGGTCACATTGTTCCGTTGTCTTCCGTAATAAACTCAAGCTAAATATTTATAGGTAACGAGTAATTGTACTGGAATACATTTGTAAAGAAACCCTCCCTGCCCTGGCAGTCTGTGCTGCTGCTCTCAGAGGATCCACAGATATCAAACGGGACAGCAGTAGGAGCTGACAGGAACAGGATCATTTTGTGGCACTTTTCATATTGCTGGAGCACTGCTTTGATAATAAGATGACTACATCACTGAGAACATTGCATGACTCATTGTGAACTCAAAACAACCAAACACTGTATTGGGGTACCAAGCTTTGTAATACTTATCTCTAAAATTAATATTACTTTTATGCTACAAAAGACAGTAAGAATATGCAGTGTTGGAAAGTACATTTACTCAAGTAATGTAATTAAATACAATTTAGAGGTACGTTTACATCATTTTATTATTTTCCTTTCCTGCTACTTCATACTTCTACTCCACTAAAGGGCACAATATGTTTACTCCACTACATATATTTGATTACTTTAGTTACCTTGAAATGTCAGGTTAATAGAAACATAATGTAGTCTACAAATAATAGATAGTCCAACATATTTTCCTTAACCTAACCATGTACCAACTTCAGTTAAACATATTGTTAGCCTGTGGCAGAAGCTGACACGTGTAGCTAAAGATGCAGAGGAAAAACCAACGTAACTTTTTTAAAACATCATACCAACTTTGTTATGAGGAGACATTGATTATGTGTGGCTGGTTTTAATCTTAATAAAAAAATTAGAACACACTTGTTAACATAAATCTTCCTAAGCTTCAATTTCTTTCTTTCTTTTTTTCAAAAGGTAACGGGATAGTTTTTTCTTGTTTCCTCTAAAATGCATATTTGTTGTTCCCCAGTCTTGCATTTTTTACACTCAGACTACAATGAAGTAAAAGTCCATATTTTTTTAGTACCTGATTCATACAATTCCATTAATTATAAAGTGTCAGCAACTATAAATAACTTTGACAAGCAGCACACCACTATAGATTAGCTTGTTGATGTATTTTTACATGTAGAGAATGAATTGTGTCTTCAGGCTAAAACGATCTATCACAGCATGTTTTCATAGCTCTCTTTCTGCCTGTCTGCCCTTACAGCACCTTAAAACATTAGAGTATTCAAAAAATGTCAGCAAACAGAACTTTTATTGAAAACCTTGTTCAAGCTTTACACTGCATGCAAGCTAAGTTTAACTATCTCATTGTATAAACTTTGCAGTTATGTTAATACATTCGAAGGAGTCTCTGAGTCATTTTAATCATTTTCCAAGGCCTCTACTGCTTTTCCTTTAAATGTAAAGCCCTTTTCTACCACATGAAGTTGCTTCTGCTGCCTTTGACAAACTCACCATGTCTAAATGTGGAGTGAATTCCATACTTCACCATTGTTTTCATTGACATCAGAAAAAAATCTACCGTCATAATTTCTTTCTCTCATGAAGGCCTGCTCATTCAAGGACTCAGAATAACACGTTTCTAAGAACTTCAGCTGTTGATGAATGAACCATTGTGTAAGGCAGCATTCACAATTATCTTGCTGACGGTAATTATGGTATTCACACCTGTATACCAAATGCGTAGGAGTAGTTCACATTATGGATAATTCATCTGTACTTATAATTCTACTGCAAAGACACACATTGAGAAAAAGCTGTAGTGTGCCCTACATTTCAAGTCCTCCCAACCAATTAAAACAACATCAAATATTCAGAACTGAGCTGAAATATGACCTGGCATGCTGGTACTTTTTCAGCCCGCATCGTGTGCCAGCGCTTATGAGCCGATTCTCTGAAAGCAGCTTCTGAAGTGCTGATCAGGCTCCTTTACAGTAATGCCATTCGTTTTTGGAAGTGAAGATGCATTTCTATGATGTATCGCAGCGTGAGACATTAATTAAGTTAATGTATAGTCCAAGAGTTTGCAGGTCATGAGTCATACAAATTATTAGTTTGCCCAGCCTGAAAGACCATAGCTTTTGAAAAAAGGTGAGATTCTTGGAAACAGATGAAGGGTCTATACTGTACAGGCATGCCAGCAGCTCAGTGAGGATGCAGCTTAGACTATATGCACCGCACTGCTGTCACTTAATGGCTGACATCAGCACATCACAAGTGTCTATGTACAGTAGAGATCCATGATGTCATTAATAATCAGAGGTGAAGACTCGAGTCACATGACTTGGACTCGAGTCAGACTCGAGTCACAAATTTGATGACTTGAGACTCGACTTGACAACATCACAAAACACTTGCGACTCGACTTGGACTTGAACACCAATGACTCGGGACTTGACTTGGACTTGAGCCTTCTGACTTGATACTTTAATTCAGAGGTCTCCAACACGCCGATCGCGAGCTGCCGTTAGAAGAGCAGACTCCCGTCGGGGAAAGCAGAATCTTCAGCCGCTCATACTCTTGCTGAGAATCCTTGCAGGCAGGGGCGGGTCTTTATTGAGCTGGGCCACCATGCGGCCAATCATATGCGAGGACACACTAGGATAATACCATTATGGGAAAGAAGGGTGGGGGGCACAGCATGTGTAGTGGTACAGGCCAGCTGCACAGAGCGACGGGGGAGACG